AAGTACAATATATACAAAAACTTTAAAAATTGCCTTTTCTGTATAACTTTTCTTTTTTTTTTTTACAAATGAGAAAAAAGGAAAACTGAATTTTCTTGTTTTTGTTGTCTAAAAGTGGAATAGGAAAAAAATTTAAAATGACAAGTATGAGCATTTTATGAGGTCTGACGAGGAAATTTTATTTTTCTTCTACTTTTTTCCACATTTCTTCAAGTCAATGAATTTTGAGTATCCTGTACGTATAATATGTAAGAATAAAATTTTCCTTGATTAGAGTTGCTTATTTTTCTTCTTCTTTAATACAAAATTAAAGGATAATATTAGCTATATAATATGTAACTGGAAAAAAAAATGATTAAATCCTAATTGTTCTGAAAATTTGTAATTTGAATAAGAATGCAAATATATTTGAAGAAATGCGATAAACGTGAGGTAATTAAAGTAAATTTCTGTATTGAATTTAATAATAAGGAAAAAAAAAAATTTTAAATCTATTGCATAATTACAGGATGAATTTATTTAAATGCTTATAAATACTTACTGTAAAGCAGAAAATGAATGAATTTCCATAATTACCAGTGTAGAATTTTTTTTTGAAAAAAGATGAAAAAAATATTTATCTGAAATTACATACTTACAAGAACAAAGGGTTAAAATTGTAAATATGCAGGTTGTTTCGCATAAGGTGGCAAATAATTACAAGAATAATTCTTTGATCAATTTCCAGCAAAAAAATTGTAGGAATTGGGGGCTGGGAGTGTGGAGAATCTTCTCTGAAATTATTTTCCACCTTACGCGAACCACCCTGTAAAGCGTAAAACCTAAATTATCATTAAATTAAATTAGTTTTTCTTCCTATATCTTGTCTATTCTATAACAAATGAATCTTCTTTGAGTAGCTAGCTATTTAAAATTTTAATGTTATTATATTATACCTTTATCGTTTATTTGTGTTAAATTAGCTGTGATGTAATAATCTTTAAAATTAATCTTAGTTATTATACTTATATACAAATTATATATAGATTTTCATTTTATTTATAGGGAATATAAGGCCTTATAGTTATACTAAGATAAGCTATTATAAGAGTTTTTAATTAAAAATATATAGAGTAGCTACAAGTGAATCAAATTTAAAAATTTTATTGTCGTTTCTTAAAATTAGACGAAATTCATATAAAATTTTTAATTAACTCCGAATTAATTCTAAAGTTTTTGACTATATTACGAGTACTTTTTCTTTATTTATATTACCTTATATAATTCATTTTCGAAAACCTATTTTTCGATAGCTATTTTATCTTGTTAAGAAAGCTAGATAGTTTCAAATTTTAAACTGTGTTCGACAAAACCGTGTACTAAATTATAGAAAATTCGATTTCTCAGATTTGAAATATTTTTATGTGGCTGTACTGTATAAAACATATGCCTTAAAAATTACCGATTTAATTATATAAATGGAATCCAATTTTATATAGCCTTCAAAAATTTTTAGACTAAAAGCAAATTTTGCAATTTTTTTTTCGAGTTAATGAACTTTTGATGAGGGTGTTAAGCAGTTCTTTTGCATTGAAGAAAACTAAAGAAATGCTTTCAAATGCAAAATTCATAAATATTTTTTCTTTATATAGTGCTAATAAAATAATAATAGAATTCTTTAAAAATAAGAAGTTTCAAATTCAAAATTAATGCAGAAAAGTTCAATTTACTAATAAACCCTGGATATCGTAAATCCCCGATTGAGTTCTTTATGTAGCAAAGCCATTTTATAATATATTCAATATCGCTACCTAAATAAAACAACTAGAAAATTATTGGAAAATATTAAAAATTTTCTTCCTTAATGACAATGAATTTTAAAATTTTTTTTTTTCAACAGTATCAGATTATAACACACTCAGTTTAATTTTCAAATCACTTGAAAGTCCATTGACTCAATAATTTATTTCAATTATGGATATATACTAGTACATAAATAGCTACTTAAATATTCAAAATATTTTATATCTTAAGAATAATTTTCATATACTAAGAAATATCGTATTTTAAATTTTCCAATATAACTTTAATCACGTTCTATTCCTTTAAACTATTTATATTGCATATACTGGTATATATCATATACATATATATATATATAATAAAAATAAATAAATAAAAACAGCATTTTCTTCAATCGATTTCAATTATTATTGACAATGTGTGTGTGTGTGTATCGCATGCAAAACGTTCATTTTCTTTTCTTTTTTCTTTTATTATTCAAACAAAAAGTTCTTCCCTTTGATTTGTTTTCGATTAAAGCTGTACATACACGTTAGTTAGAGGAAGGTACGTGAAAGACAAAAAAAAAAATTTTATATTGAATTTCCTGAAAAAAAATTGATAAAATTCAAATTTTACCTTTCCAATATACAAATTTTATGTAGAAAAAAAATAATAAAGACAAAAAATGTACATTAAATAAAATGAAAAGATAACAATGAAAATTGAAAGGATATTTATTAATGTATTACATACTTATGCAGTGCATAATATACTGAAGGCATAAACAAAGGGTTTTCAATATAAGTACTGGATTTTGAATTTTTTGAAAATTTTCAGTTTTGATAAAAAAAATATTCAATCCGCTAAAAATCACTCTTTGAAATGATTTAAAAATATTCTGAGAGAAGATGGTTTGAGACTAAACTATATAACACGGTGTATCAAAATGAAATCTTGGCTAATTACTTTAAATGCAATTAGATAAGATACATTACAATATTGTAGGGACTTATCAATACCGATAAAATCAAAATTCTGATAATTTCCTTAATAAATGCAACATTATTAATATTTGTTCAATGATCACATCCTGCGCATCCTGAATAACCCTATATATAACATTAAAATAGATTTCTCTTATTTTTTAATAATAATCATCATTGAAATTGAACATACTTTAGTATTAACAATCACCCGTACTTTTATAAAAATTACCCAATTTCAACTCAATGTATAAATTTCTTCGCACACTTAAATTTGGTATTACATGTATAACTACATTCGTATTATATACAAGTAGGTTTATGCGTTTTGTTAAAAGCGAAAAAAAATATATATAACAAATCCTTATATTATGTTTTCTAACTTTCACTGCTTTTCTTTGTAGTTGTTGCCCCCCCCCCCTAACTCTTAATTTTCAATCTCCCCACATTATACCCATTAATAATAGAAAAAAAAAACGTCGTAAAAGGGAGGTAAGCTAAAGGCGAAAAAAAAAAATGGAAAAACAAAAAATATTGTGTTTACTTTTGTTGTTATCCTTGCTGTTATTTCTGTTATTTTTATTATTTTTGTGCTTGTTTTTATGCATTGAAAAGTAGAATGAATTCGATTTTATATTTACCATTTTTTTTTTTAACTAAAAAATATTTTGTTAGTTTTCTTTTCCTTTTATTTTTTTTCTTATTCTTTTTCACTGGCATTATTACCATTTATTATTATAATAGTCTTCTTTTTAATAGTGTAGATTTAAATGTTAATGTGGCTAGACGCAAGCGCATATAAAATGCACGTGGTGTCTTTCTTTTATGTCTAATGTTTTTTTTTTTTGTATTAAACAAACAAAAATTCAAAAAAATTAAACAAATTCCTTAAGATGAAGATTTCTTCTCAGTTGTTTTTTGGATTTTTTTTGTTTTTGCCAATTCGGCAAAAAGGATGTGCTCTTTTCTGTTTTGAAATTTTTTAAAATTTGTATGGAAAGAAAAATTAATGATACTGTGTACATACTGTGAAATCACATGTTTTTTTTTTTGGAGAGTTTCCAATTTTGGAGATTTATTTTTTAAGAGATTTTTTGGTTCAATTCTCTCAATATTTCGATTTCTGTGGAGCTTTTTTCATTCAAAAACAAATTTGGATGGAGTTTGAAAGAAAATAAAGAGAAAATTTTTGATACAAACTAAAAATAACGATTTTAAAATGGAAATCCAGAAGAAGAATTGTATTCCTTGTAATATCACTCAAAAAATAGGGGGATTATTCACTTTTATATCATAATTTATTAATATTTATTATAGCATTTTTAGATTCTTCATATTAAAACAACGAATAAGTTAAGCCATATTGTAACTAAAATAAAATACGTATTCAGATTGCCTCAATAATTTCTTTAATTCATGCATTCTTACCAAACAATTTCTGATTTATATTTACCTATTTTTGATAGATCGTATATTCTACTATACACGTACTGTAAATCCTATGAGAAGACTTCAAAATATCATTTGTTTTCCAATGAGAATAACTACTTTCTAAAAACTATACAAAATATTAAAAAAATCAAAAATTTTCTCTTTCAAAATTCTCCAATAATTTTATTTCTCTCAATAATTCTCCACTATTTTATTTAAAAAGCTCTTTCAAAATTAAGAAAATAAAGAGAGCCAGAATTTTTTGAAAGAGAATTTTTTTCGTTTTATTAAATTTTGAAAAGGAACAATAACAATCAGCAGTATAAGCACTCAGCAGGTAAAGCTTAAATTCATAAAATTCCATTACAAAAATGTTCTCTAGTTTTTACTCAATTTATTTCTGTAACTGTGTATAGAGTGTACAAATTAGTGTTGATTTGATTTCAATGTAAAATGAGAGGTCAAAATTTACTCAATTTTCTCATTTATTTTGAAATTTTTGTTTTCATTATTAAAGGTTGAGTTTGTTTACATTTTCGTAAAAATTTTCTCCACAGGAGTGATTTTTTTTTTGTTTTTATATTTACAAAGTATTTGCATAATTCGGTAAAGTTTGTTTTATGTTTTTTTTTTATTTTCTTTATTATTTTATTATTATTCATATTATTCTTCTATATTTTTGTTATTATTATTATTTTTTTTCTCTGTATTATTTTTATAGTTTAAGGATTTTTTATTATGTTATTCGTTTCGTTTACTTTGTCCTTTTTTTGTAGGGTTTTTTCGTCTTATTCAAAAAAAAATCGAACTTTTCTACCTTACCAATTGTTACAAAGTTTTTGTATTCTGATTTGTTTTCAGTTTCGTTATTTTGTCTTTCTCCCTTCTCCATTAGTAAATTTTTGTTTTTTTTTTTCTTTTAAATATTGGTATGTGGTACAATTTGCTTGTATTATATCCTTTTAGCAAAACAGAGCACAAAAACAAAAATCTTTAACAATAACATACCCAAAGGGCATCTGTCGACATTTTCATTTTCCATTTTTATGCTGTTATTTTTGGTTTTTTTGTTTTTTGATTCTTTAAATTTTTTTTTGGTAAGTATTTTAGAGGGCAAATCAAGTTAGAAAAAGAAAATCCACAAATTGACTGTGCAATGATGACTCAAAATAAAAATTGAAAAAAAATGAATATTGTAAAAAATATTAAAAATTTTTTTTGGGGATGAAAGAGCAAAAAGCAAAAGTTTAAAAAAAGATATGAAAAAAAAAAGGAAGACGGGTTTTTTTTAACATCATGTTTAACATGAGCCTTTATATAAGGCTCATCGAACTGAGGGATAAAAGAAAAATTAAAAAAAAAAAAACAAAACTACCATCATCCTTGTTTTAATACTTTAAAAGTGACTAAAAAGTAGCTTTAACGCAATTTGAATATTTTTTTGATCCTTTTTATATTTTGACTGTTTTTCTTTTTTTTATATTTAATATTTAAAAGTTGAATATTGAATATGCGATGTTAAGAGGCAAATTTTTGCCTTCTACCTCTATATGTTTTCTATCTATTTTTCTCTTGGTTATGCTTTTTTAACGTTTTAATATTATCGCACTTCTCTTTTACTTGCATTTTATGGTAAATTAACTACTTATATACTTGTATAATATAAAAGTAAAAATTAAGCATTCTAAAAAAAAAAATGTTAAAAGTTAAGTAGCTTTCATTGTTAAAATTGTAATATTTAAAGATGATCTCTTTAAATATGGTAATATTATTATTTTTGAGGGCGGAGAGGACTCTTGTTGAAAACGATAATTACAATATTATAAAGAATAAAGAGAATATAAAATTAGAAATTTTATTACAAAATATTCAAATAGGAACAATATTATATTTATAGAGGATATATGTATAGATAAAAGGTAAAAACCATAAAAAGCATATTAAGAAAGTAAACGAAGTATAAAATTAATAATAAATATTGTGTAGACTGAAATTCATTGAAATAAATAAATTGATAATATTTAAAATTATTATTTTAAACTAAAATCACAAATTCTCTTTGCTATATTTTACAAAAGATAATGTTAAATTTTAATGAATTTCGTAAAGTAAATTAAATTTTCTATGCGTAATTTTAATATACAAAATATTTATATATTAAATAATTTATAAATTTTTGTAACCCGAGCGTGATTCAAATTGCAAAGCAAACATCTTGAACGTATTAGTCAAAAAAGAACTTACAAAAAATATAACATACAAAGATGAATGCTTAGACAAGAATGCGAAAATTAGGCAAAAAATAATTTAGAATTGAAAATTCATAGAGAATGAGCATAAATCGTTAGCAAACAAACATAACAATCAGTTAGAATATCAGCAGAGTAAATATTATAGCAAACCATAAACATGAAAACAATGAAAGACAAACAACATTAAATAGTTGAAGAAACAGATCGCATTGTCCGAAATTTCAAAAAAGACCCAGCGGACAGAAAAACAGCAAATTATCTAAAGTAAAGAATTTGAGCCTTAAACGAAAATTAGGAAGAATTTGAAAAAAATTAAACTATAAACAAAATATTCGATTTTATCTTAAATTTCAAACACACTCATAAAGAAATTATATAAATTTTTGGAAAATTTTCTCGCGAAATCAGTAAAAATGAGAGAATAACTTTTTCAATATAATATTATCTCGAAAATAGCAGAGACTCCTTAAAGTATGCAAAAATAGTAAATTCCAAAAATTTAACAAATTATATTGAAAAGAAGCCAGACTTTTTTAAAATTTCATAAAAATTATTTTTAATATATTTTATTCTAATATTTTATTTCGGACACTTGAGAAATGGCCTAACATTACGGAATATTCTATTATTTAAATTTAAAGTACCAATTTTGGATTTTAATTTAAAACAATATTTTAAAATTCTTATATAAGTGGTAAAATTTCAGAAACTATTCTAAAAGACACAACATTTCACTTTATTTAAAGTTCAGAAATATCCTTAATCTATAAAATTTTAATGAAATTCTTTCTTTCATTTCAAAAGAGAAAAATACTTAAAAATTATTTAATATTAAAAAATTCCAATTAGTTGAACTACAGATGTAGTTATATATAAACTTCAATTATTTTCATTTAATTTATTTCTAAATCAATAAAATTAAATTGATATTTTGCAATAAAATTTTATATTAAAAATATTTCAGTTCGTTAAACATAATTATAATGCTCGTAAAATGAAATGAAATTAGATTGACACATGTTACTTATATTCTAATCAAACATGTTTGATAATACAAAATTAATTCAAAAGGACGGGTCAGTTATTCGGATATGCTATAAATTGTTTATTCACTAATTTTAATATAAAAAATTTACTAGAAATACGTAAAGAGAAATTTAAGAAAATTTTTTATTGACAGGATACCTATTTTCCGAAAAATAAGAAATTTTGAATTTGAAAACGTTTCAAAATCACATAATTTATCACACAATTTAGCTCTTCTTTGAATTATAAAATTTGCCGGGAATTAAATTTAAGGAGCACATAATATGAATGTAATTCCTAATGGATCAATTTCAAAAACTTATCGTTTAGTAGAGTTGTTTTTTAATATAACAAATATTTTTATATAAATTATCTTTTCCCACCTATTAATTTTATATAAAACTTTTCTTTAAAAAAAAATATAAAAAGAGTGACGAAGAAAAATCAGCTCCTTAAAGTTTATTCCTTTTTTTTTTGTATTTTAAAGCGGAAATAAAAATAAAATTTTTTAAATTCACCAGAAAAGAAATTGTCATACTTCATTAAACACAAAGAATAGGTGAATTTATAACTTAAAAAGTTTTAAATTGCCGTCTATACTATGTGGAAAATTTACTCCTGATTTACTGCTACCACACATCATTTAGAAAAATTTTCCATATATGTTACATTAAAGGAACAAAATAGCAAGAAAAAGAAGAAGACAAAAGTGAAAAATAAAATAAAAAGTTTCATTTTTTTTTTCTTACTTTTCTTTTCGCCTCTAAATTATCCTTATACCCAATTTATTATAGTATGAGGATTGTTTACTTTGCGAATTTTTGTTTGTTTTTATTCTCTTAGTTTTTATTCTAGAAAAATAAGCAGAAACATAAAGCAGAGAAATAAAATCAAGAAAAAAAATAAAAAAACGAAAAAATAAAATTATATTTAGAGTGGAAAAATTAAATCCTTCCAATATTATTTTTTTTTGTTTTGTTTTTATTATTTTTATAGCAGACACTGTGCTTAAGAATTTTAGTTTCCTTAAAAATTGCTCGATACCCTAGAAAACTATGCTATTATACGATGAATGAATATTGAAAAGATTTGAAAAAAAAAGATTAGAAATGTTAGAGCTTTAAGCTAAGATATCAAACCGGATTCTTTTGGAAGCAAATCAAATCCATGAGCCTATTGCGAAATGGTCGCTCGAAAAATTATGATGAAATTCTAATTTTTCTTTCAAACGTAAATTACCTTAATTACAAATCCTATAAATCGGATTAATAAACGAATGAAGATGCTCCCATTCGTTATATATCTTATTAAATCTTGAAGTTGAACCCATTTTAGCAACAAATTTTAGAAAGAGCTTACGCCATAAGAAGAGGCTAATCAATATTATGCAAATTTTTCCACAATAATTGAATGAAAAGTATATATAAGTGAATAGATCATTCAACCACATATCGTAGCCAGTGCTTTATCTCTTTCAATCCTGTACAAAATGTCCATTTTAATCCTGTACAGAATTTCATCTCTCACTGAATTTGAGGATGCACCTCTATTAGTCCTGTACCCATTTTTTATTGAATTTTCTTAAAATTATATTTGTGTGATAATTAATCAATAATTTAATAATTCGCAACAAACGAATAAAATTTCCTAATGTTGGTATTTTGCATTCTTAAAACATCGACAGAAAGAGGATATACTCGTAATTTACTTATACAATCGTAAACTATTAAGTAAGAGTAATATTTCTCGTATTCTGTCCATGTTGATCTTGTTTATTTCTAAAAATATGAATGATTTGGTATGAATAAATATATGCAAAATAAAAACGACTAAAATTATTTTAACAGAGTGATCTTAGTATTCAATTAATGTACAAAGCGATTGAGAATAGTCTGATACTCCTCAACTAATTCCTTTAACTATAAAATATTTTCTAAAAATAAAATTTCATACAAAAGATATGTATCTTCTTCCTTTACGTTAATTCGTTACTATATTATATTTATTTCCTTACAAAATAAGGAAGCAAAAAAAAAAAATTCAAAAAAATAATAATTGTCTCAGCTGTTTCTTAAGAAGAAATTCTCTCGTAAAGGATATTTTCTACTGCTTTCTTCTCTTTATTTAAAGTTAAAATCATATGAAATTAAAAATATACGCTATACAACGTACAATACTATAAATATAGCTAGTATATTTTATGTAAGTGAATCTCACTTATTTAATATGTCAGGATGAAGCTTTAAAATTTTCATTATGTTATTTAATATTTAAAAAACGAAAAAGAAAGAGATACAGGTTTCCGTTTTCATTATGTCAACAAAAAACAGAAAAAAATACTTAAAAAAAGAAAATGGAAGAAAAAATAAGGAAAATAAAAATTTTAATTTACACTTTTCTTATACCTACACACGTACACACAGTCATACCCACAACTATATCCCCATCTCTATAATAGTAATTATCTTAGATTGTATATTGTAGTTCCCAGACAAAATAGAGTTGAGTCGCTCACTCCCAATACATACGCGTATACGTTTATTATCTTATTTACCCTTTCTCGGTGCCCCTTTTCTCAATAAATATTACAAATTTATTTGTTTCCTTGTTTGCA